AACAATTTTACTTTCTTTATGATGTGTCTAAGTTAGTTTGTAATTTCAGACATTGTTTTGATAACCACGAGTTGAACCCCGAGAGACTAGATCGGTTTCTGTAGCAACCGTTCAGCTATATCCAAACGTTCGCTACATTGTTTCCCATTGCGTTCTCACGGTACTTGTCTGCTTACCGCCCAAAATTCCCACCAAAGTTTTGCCTCGTGTTAGTTGCGTGTCACTTCTAATATGGAATGACAGTGTTATGTTTCGTTTGTATGCGCCAATCATTAGCGTTGTTTTATTTTTGGAACGTTTTTGCATGATATATTCTAGAGTACAAACACGTGTTTGTCACTTCTCCGATTAGCTGTCACCAAGACAAATGCCGCTCTCACGTTGACAGTTACATTAACCAGGCAAAGCGACGTCGTGGGAAGTCCGATTCAGGTCGTCGCTGTAATTCCTCCTATGATAGCTTCGCAACTTGATGCTCGTTATGCACACCCTCCTTTCTATGCTCTCTACGATGTCAACTCCTCATGAAACTATTATTTAGCGATCCATATTTTATATCAAGAAGTATTTGCTGTACAACGTATTGATGTTTATTTTGAGTACAAATAAACAAGTTTGAATTATACCTCACGTCTGTTCAACTCGAGAAAACACAACGCAATCGATGTCCGTTTCAATAATAATTCCGCATGTTCAGTCAGTTCGTTTATGTGACTAAATGAACACCTCAACGCCTAGTTTTGCGATATAAACTTACCCACCACACGTTTTTAAACTGTCCGCTGCTAACAAAAAAAAGCAAATAAAAATACATTCACAGATAATTCGCGTGATTGAAAGTGTTGAAAGAGGGTGTTTGCGATATTGGATCATTCAAACGAAATAGCAAAATTGGATGTCGAAGAATCTTTTAGACAATCGTTGATACGGCATGTACATTAACACATTTGCCTATATCGAAGCTCTACTCAAAAATCAACTTTATTACTAAATTCGTCAAGAGCTATTTCTAACTACCTCAATATATTTTCCTACGAAATGCGTCAGTTATTACAAATGCGCCAGTCATTTTATTTCAAAATGGAATAATTTTTACAAAGTACCGCAAGTTTTTACTTAGTACGTCATTACTACATTCTCTTGAGGTTACTTAAAATCGTACTCCGAAACAACAAAACAACTCAACAAGCAATTTTTTAAACCCGAGTTGTTTTTATATTTTAATTAGTATACGTTCTAGAAGTCTGGTCATGCACACTTACACTCTTTTATTTCTGATGTCATTAGAAAACCTCGATTTGTCGACGTCATGGATGACGTAGTTCACTTTACTAAGAACAAATCATTGGTTATGAAAGCCATAGATAGATACAAGGAGCTCATTCAATCAGAAACTTATCAGCGGATGTTCCAGGAAAAGGCTGACCCAACAAAGCCTGACGTAATCAAGACGGTAGCAGACATTCATATGTATTGGTCCAGACAGGCACTAGAGGATTGTGGGGCTGAGTTGAGTCAGATTCCATCTGATGCGATGATAGAAGAAATTGCAATGATAAATTTCCCAAGTGACCTTGAAGTACGTCTTTAGAATCTCTTAGAGAAATCATAGTTTATATATTTGACTATAAACTTCAGCTAAGATCGTTTACATTTGTTTAGATTTTATATAAAATGGCCTTTTCATTTTTTGCAGCCAATTATATCCAATTAAAACCCAGGTTACGTTTAACATATCCAATATCTGTAATGAAATTGGTGCTTCGATCTTATTAATATATTCTCGTTGTCCTTTGAACCCCACTGAGTTGCATCAAGTTCAAATGAATGTTGCTTGAATTTGCGAGTCGTTAAATAGTGGATTATTGACAGTATTTTTACCAACAATTTTTTCTATTTACCAAAACAAAATGTTTATAGACATACAACCCACTCCAAACAACATCAACCGTCATTATGCAAATTGTCTCTGTGTGTTTCACAATGTGCAGAATATAGGGGGCGCACGACTATTTATAGACAACCCAATATAGTCTAACATCTATTGTTTTATATGATATTTTATTTATGTCGACGTTGATCTATTACAATTATTCACAGGTTCTTGACAAGTTTAATGGTATGCTCGAAGTCACAGAAAGACTTATACCAAATGCCAGACCTACAGTCATAGTAGGAGATGAAGTCCCCAAGGATATTGAGATAGTCGGCCTGGAAACTGAAACACGCTTTCCACTACTTGACTTACATATCAATAAAGAGCGCCCTCTGTTAATCATTGCTTCTTCACTCAGCTGACCCCCGATGTCGGTAAGAATTCTGTGTCACGTTTGTCATTGTCCCGTGTGTAATGTATTACATCATGTGACTTGTTTTCTTAATGCATAAGTCTCAACACTGAGTCCACATTCAAAGAAGCATTTAATGAAATAGAGATTTTCCCTAAGTACACATATTTAAGAATCACCCTGTTAGGTAGTACCACGAGATTTTACACAGAAACGCGACCCTGGTTTATCTTAAAATCTTAAAATTAAAAATATGGATCAAACATTTTGCTCAGTGCATTTGTAACTTGGTGGGCTAAAGCATAAGTAATCCACTTTTACACATATTTAAATGGAATTATACACATATTCGAGTTTGAAACAAACGAATAGGGCACTCAGTTGATTTGTGCCTATCCTGCAAAAACACAAACATACGCCATAGACGTCTATGAATACACACATACCTATGTAAAATATAGTGAAAGGTATTGTGACAAAATATTACTTCGACTTTACGAGATATAAAAACATACATAATAATTTCCATATGATCCGAGTTAATTAACGTCTTTTTTTGTATGTATCAGGCCGTTGTATACGGTGGTGCACTGCGTAGGCTCTACGTGGATTATAAAGATAAAGCAGAATTTATCATAGTTTACATCAAAGAGGCTCATACAACTGAAGGGTGGAAAATGGGACCAAAATTCAGTGATTCTAAACAAACAACAACATTGGAGGAAAGAATTGACAGAGCAAGGTGATAATTTATCACAATATAAATGAAATATTTGTATTACATTGTATTACACTTTATCATTTCGTCACGTGACCCATTGTCCGGCCATTCATTATTCATTGTAAATTGAACATAACTTTTAATTGGGTCCACTTGGCGATATGATAGATTTCAAAAAGTATGTGGTTTGAACCCACAACCCAACTGGAAGGTAATTTTGAGTGTTTAATATGTGTTATAATTCAGTGAATGTACTGGTCACCTGGGTGACAATTATAATCAATTATTTTAATACTAATCTATTATTTAATATTATATTTGTACTTGTAATCAAACCCTGTAAGCATAGCTATCGAACTTCCCAGCCAATAATGTAAGGGAAATCTATAATTCGAATAATAATTGCAATTACCACTTGGTTACAAGAACCGCAGTCTTGCATACATTGACGGGCATGTCTAATAGTAATTAGACATATTAATAGTAATTAGACATGATGAATAATTGATAATGAGGTGAATAATAAATGCAAGAATACGGCTGCATAAAGTGGATCGTAATAATCTCGCCGACGTGGCTCCAGCTATAACGACAAAGACCAAGTAGCTAATTACAATTTCGGCGACGCTGTGGAAATATGAACGTGTTTTCACCCCGTGCTCTAACAGTGAAAATGTTGGCGACGTTCCTACTCAAACTGATCGACAACACGGTTTTGATGGCAGACTTGATATTCCCTATCATCGATGACGCATTCCTATCTGTATTAGTAGAGGCAACGACGATAGTTTCTCAGCAGCAGTATTCTTCTAAAGCATTTCAGAGCGACCGGCAGCTATTCTGTGATACCCCGTGATACTCTAACAGCTTGTACATTAAAGGGTGGTCGTCGTCGCGCTGCGCATGTGCGACATTTGTGTTGATAAATACTGATTTGCCCATAATTCAATGCGCTCTTCTTATGGAAATAACAATTATGCGTTTTGACCTGGGCGCGACTCGCACTAACTACCGCCGGTCACTCCTTCGATACCTTCTAATCACCAAAAAAATATCCCATTAAAGCTTGGCAACGTCTCAGTTTGTACTCGTTGATCTGCGCAACACTTTACAGTCAAAGTCGCCATCTTTGTTTATATGAAACCCATCTCGCGCATGCGTGGCGCAACGACTACCGCCCTTTAAACAACAACTGCTACAAAAACAACTGACACTTGACGGCTGACTGAATGGATGTTTGAAGCGAGGGTTTGTGTTCAAACGTGGAAGGCAAAAAAACATGGCAAAGCCCGGCTCGAATTATTTATCATCGCTTTTAAATTAAAATAACCATTCATTTGCATTCATGTGTGGTAATTCAAGCATACTTATTTTTATTTTGTAGAAAACTGTTGGAAATTGTTCCCAATGCAGTAACTTCTGACCCTTATGATGCCAGCAAAATTCGTGTTCTTGTTGATGACATGAACGACACATTTGATAATGCGTTCTGGTCTTGGCCAGATAGAGCTATAGTAATTCAAGATGGTCGCCTTGTCTTCACTGGACGTAATATTGCTCAACAATTGAGGTCACCCGATAAACCGCTTACCCATGATCTTCGGGAATGGATGGACGCTCACTACAAATAAACACGACATAAACTCACATGTAGCAATACAATGTTCACATTGCGCCTTCTGCAAACGAAGCGCATGTGATGAGTGTTGTTTATCGTGTTGATATTGTTTGCATCTGTTTTTTTTATTCTAACCTACGTATTAATTGGGTATTAATATCGCTAGTACAAACAATTCACACTTCAGATCACCATTAATATAGGTACTTGGACATTGCGTGTCACCTAGACTGGAAAAGTCGAGACTTATTCTTTGTTTTACAAAAAGAAATAATTTATTGTTTTAAGTCCATTTAGCGTGATCGCAAAAACTAACAGTCACGCTAGTTTTCGCAATCACGCTTAAAAGGCTAATTGACAAATACTTGTTTTTGAAAAAAATCACGACTTTGCCAGTCTACGTGTCACCGTATATAACCAGCTGGTAATATTTGGCATCGTGGCTATTTTATACATGAACTTCATTTATTCAAGGTGTGATTTTATCTACGAAAACAGTGATTGTTTCATAGTATACAAGAATTGAGCTAAATATGGGAGGTTACTAAGAAAATAGATAAACAATATTGAGATAAAAAGACAAGCATTATGTAATATGCATAGTGACAAATCATATATAATGTCAAACAATTTTAGTGTAGGTTGTTAATAGCGTATTTACATGCACATGGTAATCATTTTACTTAATGTAGATTAACATTTCAAGTTATTAGGGGGTTAGGTTATTTTATTGAACCCACACTCGTATATACAGTATATTGTACTGCCATGTACAATCTATACCTACACACGTCTATGTAGTACTGTTGTATTCATTTATATTGGAATAATGACGATTATTTAGAAAAATCATTGAATTCTTATAATCCGACAACAAATCCATAACTTTGAGGAATATTTTTGAACACAATTATGTCATTAATATGGACATGTGTAGGCCTAGGACATTGGCACAAAGCTCAGTGGTACATATTGAATGGATGCGAGCATTGATATGTATACTAATAAAATGTATTTGATGAATTTCAGTAAAAAAAAACTAATCTTCATTTGCAAGTTTATGGCATTCTTTGTATTTTGTAGCTTATTTTCATTTACTTGTGTTTGGGTTAGTTTATTCGATATGAAAAACATTAACAGAAAACAGAAACAAAGCCCAAATAACTTCACAATCTATAATAAAGCGATTTATTTCCAGCAGGTTCCTAATACCACACCGGAAACGCCGATATGCATAACAATACATGCAATTCAAAAACAATGGTGTACACGTGAACAATTAAAAATCAAATAGGTTAGTACAAATAGATATAAATCTCAAGACATGCCTCAAATAAATTCGGAAGTTACTTCTTAAAATAATTACAAGAAACAAAGCACAGACAAATACAATGAATAAATTCACTAAAATAGAGGATTGCCTAGGCAAGTGTGCATTGGTGATAACTCACAGTTCCAGGGTGTAGAAATTGACGACAGTCAATGGCTTCTGCAACACAACAACGAAGAAATACAGGAGTCTTGCTTGCAGGAGATCGTAGTGCAGTTCATACAAGTTTTACAGAACGATGATTGAAGCACTAGCTACATACAGGGTACACAGTCGAAATGATGGACCCTAACTGACATAAGTCTAGCCCATTTATAGGCATAAATGGTCAAGATTCAGGGACACCACCTGGGTTTCCACATGAACCAATAAGAATGTGATCTTGCTAGCAACTGTCTCGTGTAGGCAACTCAGTAAATTGTAAACATCATTTGTTATTCAAATAATAGCACACCTGGTAAATTCAAATTGCCTTGCGGAGTTGTAAACATAATTTGTTATGTAAATCACAAGCACACCTGGTAGATTCCAATTGTCCTTCCAGAGTTGTAAACATCCTTTGTTATGTAAATCACAAGCACACCTTGTAGATTCTAATTGTCCTTCCAAAGTTGTAAACACCCTTTGTTATGTAAATCACAAGCACACCTGGTAGATTGCAATTGTCCCCCAGAGTTGAAAACACCCTTTGTTATGTAAATCACAAGCACACATGGTAGATTCCAATTGAGCCCCAGAGTTGAAAACACCCTTTGTTATGTAAATCACAAGCACACATGATAGATTCCAATTGTCCCCCAGAGTTGAAAACACCCTTTGTTATGTAAATCACAAGCACACCTTGTAGATTCTAATTGTCCTTCCAAAGTTGTAAACACCCTTTGTTATGTAAATCACAAGCACACCTGGTAGATTCTAATTGTCCTTCCAGAGTTGTAAACACCCTTTGTTATGTAAATCACAAGCACACCTGGTAGATTCTAATTGTCCTTCCAAAGTTGTAAACACCCTTTGTTATGTAAATCACAAGCACACCTGGTAGATTCTAATTGTCCTTCCAAAGTTGTAAACACCCTTTGTTATGTAAATCACAAGCACACCTGGTAGATTCTAATTGTCCTTCCAAAGTTGTAAACACCCTTTGTTATGTAAATCACAAGCACACCTTGTAGATTCTAATTGTCCTTCCAAAGTTGTAAACACCCTTTGTTATGTAAATCACAAGCACACCTGGTAGATTCTAATTGTCCTTCCAGAGTTGTAAACACCCTTTGTTATGTAAATCACAAGCACACCTTGTAGATTCTAATTGTCCTTCCAAAGTTGTAAACACCCTTTGTTATGTAAATCACAAGCACACCTGGTAGATTCTAATTGTCCTTCCAGAGTTGTAAACAACCTTTTTTTATGCAAATCGCAAGCACACCTGTTTGATTCCAATCTCCTTCCTGAGTTGTAAACATCCTTTTTATGTAAATCACAAGCACACCCGGTAAATTCCAATTGTCTTTCCAGAGTTGTAAACATCCGTTGTTATGTAAATCACAAGCACACCTGTTTGATTCCAATCTCCTTCCAGAGTTGTAAACATCTTTTTTTTATGTAAATCACATGCACACCTGGTAGATTCCAATTGTCCTTCCAAAGTTGTAAACATCCTTTGTTATGTAAATCACAAGCACACCTGTTTGATTCCAATCTCCTTCCAGAGTTGTAAACATCTTTTTTTTTATGTAAATCACAAGCACACCCAGTAAATTCCAATTGTCTTTCCAGAGTTGTAAACATCCGTTGTTATGTAAATCACAAGCACACCTGTTTGATTCCAATCTCCTTCCAGAGTTGTAAACATCTTTTTTTTATGTAAATCACATGCATACCTGGTAGATTCCAATTGTCCTTCCAGAGTTGTAAACATCCTTTGTTATGTAAATCACAAGCACACCTGTTTGATTCCAATCTCCTTCCAGAGTTGTAAACATCTTTTTTTTATGTAAATCACAAGCACACCCGGTAAATTCCAATTGTCTTTCCAGAGTTGTAAACATCCGTTGTTATGTAAATCACAAGCACACCTGTTTGATTCCAATCTCCTTCCAGAGTTGTAAACATCTTTTTTTTTATGTAAATCACATGCACACCTGGTAGATTCCAATTGTCCTTCCAGAGTTGTAAACATCCTTTGTTATGTAAATCACAAGCACACCTGTTTGATTCCAATCTCCTTCCAGAGTTGTGAACATCTTTTTTTATGTAAATCACAAGCACACCTGGTAGATTCCAATTGCCTTCCAGAGTTGTAAACATCTTTGTTATGGAAATCACAAGCACACCTGTTTGATTCCAATCTCCTTCCAGAGTTTTAAACATCCGTTGTTTTGTAAATCATAAGCACACCTGTTTGATTCCAATCTCCTTTCAGAGTTGTAAACATCCGTTGTTATGTAAATTACAAGCACACCTGGTGGATTCCAATTGTCCTTCCAGAGTTGTAAACAACCTGTTTTTATGTAAATCGCAAGCACATCTGATAGATTCCAATCTCCTTCCAGAGTTGAAAACATCCGTTGTTATGTAAATCACAAGCACACCTGTTTGATTCCAATCTCCTTCCTGAGTTGTAAACATCCTTTTTTATGTAAATCACAAGCACATCTGGTAGATTCCAATCTCCTTCCAGAGTTGTAAACATCCGTTGTTATGTAAATCACAAGCACACCTGTTTGATTCCAATTGTCCTTCCAGAGTTGTAAACAACCTTTTTTATGTAAATCACAAGCACAACTGGTAGATTCCAATTGCCTTCCAGAGTTGTAAACTTCTTTTTTTTATGTAAATCACAAGCACACCTGTTAGATTCAAATCTGCTTCCAGAGTTGTAAACTTCTTCCTTTATGTAAATCACAAGCACACCTGTTAGATTCAAATCTCCTTCCAGAGTTGTAAACTTCTTTTTTTATGTAAATCACAAGCACATCTGGTATATTCCAATTGCCTTCCAGAGTTGTAAACATCCTTTTTTATGTAAATCACAAGCACATCTGGTAAATTCCAATTGTCCTTCCAGAGTTGTAAACATCATTTGTTATGTAAATCACAAGCACACCTGTTTGATTCAAATCTCCTTCCAGAGTTGTAAACATCTTTTTTTATGTAAATCACAAGCACACCTGGTAGATTCCAATTGCCTTCCAGAGTTGTAAACATCCGTTGTTATGTAAATCACAAGCACACCTGTTAGATTCCAATTTCCTTCCAGAGTTGTAAACATCCGTTGTTATGTAAATCACAAGCACACCTGTTAGATTCCAATCTCGTTCCAGAGTTTTAAACATCCGTTGTTATGTAAATCATAAGCACACCTGTTTGATTCCAATCTCCTTCCAGAGTTGTAAACATCCGTTGTTATGCAAATTACAAGCACACCTGGTGGATTCCAATTGTCCTTCCAGAGTTGTAAACAACCATTTTTATGTAAATCGCAAGCACATCTGGTAGATTCCAATCTCCTTCCAGAGTTGTAAACATCCGTTGTTATGTAAATCACAAGCACACCTGGTGGATTCCAATCTCCTTCCTGAGTTGTAAACATCCTTTTTTATGTAAATCACAAGCACACCTGGTAGATTCCAATTGTCATTTCAGAGTTGTAGCAACCTTTTTTATGTAAATCACAAGCACACCTGTTTGATTCCAATCTCCTTCCAGAGTTGTGAACATCTTTTTTTATGTAAATCACAAGCACACCTGGTAGATTCCAATTTCCTTCCAGAGTTGTTAACATCCTTTTTTATGTAAATCACAAGCACACCCGGTAAATTCCAATTGTCCTTCCAGAGTTGTAAACATCCGTTGTTATGTAAATCACAAGCACACCTGTTTGATTCCAATCTCCTTTCAGAATTGTGAACATCTTTTTTTATGTAAATCACAAGCACACCTGGTAGATTCCAATTTCCTTCCAGAGTTGTTAACATCCTTTTTTATGTAAATCACAAGCACACCCGGTAAATTCCAATTGTCCTTCCAGAGTTGTAAACATCCGTTGTTATGTAAATCACAAGCACACCTGTTTGATTCCAATCTCCTTCCTGAGTTGTAAACATCCTTTTTATGTAAATCACAAGCACACCCGGTAAATTCCAATTGTCTTTCCAGAGTTGTAAACATCCGTTGTTATGTAAATCACAAGCACACCTGTTTGATTCCAATCTCCTTCCAGAGTGTAACATCTTTTTT